CTTTTACGGCAAGCATGGGTTGCTGAAAAACTATTCTACCTCGGAATCTTCACGGGGCTCAAATGAGACGGACTCTCTGAATGAATTCTGTGCGAATACTATCATTTGCCTGATATTGAATTTTTGTTTGTTTGTTTGTTGTTTAACGCCGCACTCAGCACTACTCCAGCTATATGACGGCGGTCTGTAAATAATCGAGTCTGGACCAGACAATCCAGTTATCTACATCATGAACATCGATCCACGCTATTGGGATCGATGACATGCATCAACCAAGTCAGCGAGCCTGACCACCCGATCCCGTTAGTCGCCTTTTACGACAAGCATAGTCGCCTTTTACGGCAAGCATGGGTTGCTGAAGACCTATTCTACCTCGGAATCTTCACGGGGCTCAAATGAGACGGACTCTCTGCATGAATTCTGTGCGAATACTATCATTTGCCTGATATTGAATTTTTGTTTGTTTGTTTGTTGTTTAACGCCGCACTCAGCACTATTCAAGCTATATTGAGTCGCGATATTCAGCTTGCTTTTTTTAAATTCAGGTTTTGCAAACACATTACACGGAAAGGCCGATATGAAAGATGTTCTTTACGCGTCTCACTTTGGCGAAGCCGATGAACATGGTTATAGTGATGACCCAAGGGGCACAATGGGGTACATTTAGATTTATTTGGTGTTTGACGCCGCACTTGGCAATATTCCAGCTATATGTCTGTAAATACTCGCGTCTGGACCAGACAATCCAGTGATCGACATCATGAGCATCGATCCGGGCAATTGGGATCGATGATATTGATGTGAAAGACGTGTGCATGTGTGCGTGCGTGCGTGCGTGCGTGCGTGCGTGTGTACGTGCGTGCGTGCGTGCGTGCGTGCGTGCGTGCGTGCGTGTGTGTCGCCAGACAAGGTAGAAACAAGTACCACTTTTTCACTTATTTTGCTCTGACGCGGCCAGGTAATCGAACAACCGACCTTCCACTCTCTGGACATAAGCTTTATCCACGAGACCGCCTTGGCGGTGACAACCAGCAGAAGGTCGCTATGTTGTATATTTGGTATATGTACTGACAGGCTTTTATGACGAAACAAGTTAATTCGGTTTACCTCAAACAACATCACTTCGTATTTTTCAGTATTTACAGTCAAAACTGAAAAGTGTCTCGGTTTGGGTTTTTTGCGCACACACCCCCAACTTTGTTTTTGGAAACTTACTTCACATATTTTCAGGTGAACAATTAACTTTCCACCTGCATGGTCGTTTATGATCGGTGCCACAGATGGGGCAGGATACGCTCACCTTTGCGTGGACACCTGGTTTCGTCACGGTTTGATTGGGAAGCGTAGACACATGCTCATATCTGGTCGGAATCGTGAGTGAGTGAGTGAGTTGGGTTTAACGCCGCTTTTAACAGTATTCCAGTCATATCACGGCGTGTCAGCTTAATGTGGGAGGAAAGCCCCAAGTGATGCAGGTCTCAGACGTTTACCACTTCGGTGAAACCCACGAGCACGGGTATGGTGCTGACAAACCTAGAAACATAATCGGGGCGAACCGGGACTCGAACCCACAATCACAGGTTTCTGGACAATGAGTTGCGGCGCCTTAGACGACTGGGCCCCCCGTGCCCCCCGGAATCGTTCAAAGCACTCTCCTTACGGCTGAGATTTCTTATGATTATGGAAATGGATTTCGTCGGTTGTATTACATTCAGAAATGTTTTAGGTGATCACGAATGCTATGAGCAAACATGTGGCCAGAACAAACTTATCTGGTTATGTGTTCAACACAATTATATACAATTATTGTACTATGTAAAACTAGACAATGGCGCTGCGCAATGCGCATTGCCGGTGATGTGGAACACCTTTGTACTATGTAAAACTAGACAATAGCATGGTATTTCACGAACTAGAATGTTTTCAGTCTTGACTGCAAGCTGTTTAGTTGGATATTCCTTGATGGTGAGAGACAGATTGTCCCAAAATATAAGATAGCTACGCGGTAAATTGCAAAGAACAATACAGAACAGAGCGTGGTTTATTTCACGGTAAAACGGTGTTCTATCATGACGTCACGGAGATTCGAACATGCGCTCGCAACTTGATGACGTCGTAAATTGGACGCTTAGAGGGACGTGGGAGAGATACCACAATCTGTATTTGGGAGAGAGGCGTTAGGTTTCCTTTTTTTTCAATTTTGAGAAGTTTGGAATTTGGAAACTTGGGGGTCTAAGGTTGGGGGTCTGAGGGGGAGGTTGTGGGTGTGTGTTTTTTGGATTTGTGTTTTATTCGTTTTGATTAGTGTTGGTTTGATTTTTGTAGGTGATTATAGGCAGCCAAGTAGTTTAGTTTTAATTTTAAATGGTGTTCATCTCTGGACCAAGGCTTATATAGCCAAGGTCACCTGACATGGATTAACTCCTAAATATAAACAACAGTAATGAATCAGTGACATAGTTGCACAGCTCGTTCAGGATGGCAGAAAGTCAATGTGCAATATAACGGGGATTAACAGTTTGGATTAGCATCTAACAAATAACGGCAATAAAGTGACACAAGACATACACATGTCATGAGTAATTAGCCTTTGGAATTAAATGTTCATTCGGATAATGGTTGTGCCAAATTGGTCGCTATGACAGCAGATTGTAATACCTTGAAGCAAGTGATGGAAACAGCTGTTAGAATCGATTCCAACATGCCACCTCAACTGTAACAAAGAAGTTGTTTATCCATAAGAACATATCCTTTTCCATCACACCAACTTCTAAATGCTGAGAAAACACTGAGAACCAGCTACTATTGTAAGAGTCAGGCTGATTGGACACAAAGGAACTAAAGTCACTATCAACCATTTAGAGACATATTTCAAAAGGGGTTTAGCGAGAAGTCTGTCTTACAAATACACAATATTCGGTGTTTTTCATGATAAATTATTGTATCAAGTTGGGGAAGATAGGAGATGCAAAATATGGACTTCCCACTTTAGACTGAAACATCATACTAGGGGTGACTATTGGTCTTGAAATCACTATTGAGATAACTATTGATATTGAAAGCAACTATTGCGATAACTATTGATATTGGAAGCAACTATTGCTATAAATATCGATAGTTTTCAGTGTATCAATTTAGATGGATTTTATAGTTGAATTAAACCTTGGAACTGAAGTTTCCTTTGAATGTGATAACCATAACAACAAATAAAAAGTAAAGTTTGAGACAAGACTGATTTGTTTTTTCTTTACCCAAATAATTTAAGAAAAAGAAACTTCCACATTACCATGTGTAAATTACTACCACTCATGATCAAAAGATAAACAAATGTGAACAGCACTGCATGTATTTTATTGATATTGTAAATACAATCGAAACTATCGATATTCCTAACCGAAATCGATACTATTGATCGGAAACTGATTTAACAATCGATTTATTGACTTTAAGTGCTTAGCAATATATCGCTCTTTCGATTTATCGTGACACCCCTACATCATACGCCTATGGGTACAGAGTATTCTCCCTTTGTACATGTGCCACAATGGCGGATCCAGCATTTTTAAAAGGGAGCGAACCAAAATGTCAAAATCCTCTCTCAGATAATTTCACTGCAATCAACATACTACATGTGAGGAGGAGTTGTGGGTCCGGGAAATCCGGACCAAAGTTTCCTCATATCCAAACAATAAGTGGCTTTGACAATCCAACTACCAGGAATCTGATTGGATACAATCTCAGTGAGGAAGTGTTTTTTACACACACACACAGAGAGAGAGAGAGAGAGAGAGAGAGAGAGAGAGAGAGAGAGAGAGAGAGAGAGAGAGAGAGAGAGAGAGAGAGAGAGAGAGAGAGAGAGAGAGAGAGAGAGAGAGAGAGTGTTTTATTAAGATGTCACGTGCAAATAACATATACATACTGCATAAAAACAAAAAAAACAATTATCATGTATAAAAGTATCCAAGTAAAACATTGTAAGCTTTTTTCTTACGTTGTACGATCATCTTTTCTTATTCCAGCAGCCAAGGAACTGTCAATTTTGTTGGACACCATATTTTAACGTTATATGTGCATATCAAGAACGCAAGTTACCAAATGGCTGACTATTTTTAGTACAAAATAAAAATAAAAATAACCATCAAAACACCTATATATGTGTATGTTAACACAGTATGATTAAACCACTTGATTAGTACATACGTGCAAGTTTTAAATGTTTGGGAATATCTTCTAGTAAGAATACCAAATGATAATTTCAATTTCAGTTAACATGACATTACAGACTCATTACAGCCACGTTTAACGGGAAACAACACTCCAACTCTCACACGTCTTGCTGGCGCCGTTTTAATTAGCCCCCGTAATCACCAGATGCAAAATAGCGTCAGCGACCCAACAAGTCAAGTCCAATCAAGCAAAGTTTATTCCCATAAATCCCAGATGTGATACAGGGAGGATATATATGCATGTGTACACATGCCCAGATAGTAATAATAATAGTAAAAATAATAGTATACGATATATACATAGTATGAGTGAGCATAACAGATATACAAATATATACTAGTAACATTATTCATACAATTTCATTGGTGCACTGATATACTTGGATAAATTTATAAGGATAGGCCTATATTGTACATAAGTGATATATATTTTTTAATTGAAGGATATTCGCACTAGTATTTTGGAAGATATCGATTTCGGGGGACATTTAAATTGGGGAAAATAACATGAAATGTAATTCATCACCTATTCCAGGATTACGTAATGTACAGATTCTATATGTTCTCTAAGTACCCGGTACCATCGACCAGTTTCTATTGGAGATGATGATTACCTAACCTTTATGTGTTTGTTTATTTGTTTGTTTGTTTGTTGTTTAACGCCGCATTCAGCAATATTCCAGCTGTATGATTGCGGTCTGTAAATAATTAAGTCTTGACCAGACAGTCCAGTGATTGATATGAGCATTGATCCATGCAATTCGGATACGATGACATGCATCAACCAAGTCAGCGAGCCTGACCACCTGATCCCGTTAGTCGCCTCTTACCACAAGCATAGTCCCCTTTTACGGCAAGCATGGGCTGCTGAAGACCTATTCTACCCCGGATCTTCATGGGTTCTAATCTATGTGGAGTTAAGCTTAATCAGTTTAAAGGCAGTGATAACAGGTATGGTTCAATGATATGGAACTGCTTAAACATGGAATATGGACACAAAGGAACTAAAGGAACTGAAGGCACTATCACCCAGTTGGTGACAGCATAATATTTCAAAAGGGTTTATCGAAAAGTCTGTGTTACAATCAACAATCTCTGGTGTTTTAAATGAGAAATTACTGTATCAAGTTGGGGGAAAATGGAGATAAAAAATATGGACTTCCCATCTCAGACTGATGGATCACCCCATGTAGATCCGGCCAAGTGTAGATGTACCAGACTACGTTGTCTGGAAACAAGGTTTCCTGTACCCAAGTTTAACTTTATCCGTACTTTGACAATCTAAATAACAAGGAATCTCATTGGATATACTATCAGTGAGGAAGTGTTACATTACAGACTCACTACAGCTACAGCTAATGGAGATACACAATAGACATAAATACTGAGTGAGTGAGTATGGTTTTACGCCGATTTTAGCAATATTCCAGCAATATCACGGCGGGGTACACCAGAAATGGGCTTCACACATTGTACCCTTGTCGGAATCGAACCGCGTCTTCAGCGTGACGAGCGCCGCTTTAACCACTTGGCTACCCATATAGTCATAAATAACACAGTTATAAATATACACATGAGCATTAATAAAGCACCACCGACCTTTTCAGATATGTGCTACATTAAAAAAAAAAAGACTAGTGAGATTCATTGTTGAATATGACAAGAGAATAGCAATCTGACAAACAGAACGTCTGACACTACCAACACACAGATAAAGCTGGCACTGAACTAGCATTTTATTGGCGTAATGCAAACAAGTCTGAGAAGGTTTCATTTCAACAATGCTGCATAGAATCAGCACCCAGCCCACCCCATTAATTTGATTGTCACATTATGAAGTGAAAAACGAGTATTGTCACTCTTGGAATCACCACTGACCCTGCAATCAGTGTCTGGAGTATCCAGCACTCTGATGGATGATTTGGTTTGTTTGGTTTGTTGTTTAACGCCGCACTCAGCAATATTCCAGCTATATGACGGCGGTCTGTAAATAATCAAGTCTGGACCAGACAATCCAGTGATTAATATCATGAGCATCGATCCACGCAATTGGGATCGATGACATGCATCAACCAAGTCAGCGAGCCTGACCACCCGATCCCGTTAGTCGCCTTTTACAAGCATAGTCCTCTCTTACGACATCTGATGGATGACATTCACAAGGCATCTGCTCATGCTGCTGATCCGTCTGATGTTTAACATTGGATCCTCTGCCATTCTGGGTACAGCACCAGTGTCACTTCATTCTGGTTTTGAACTGTAGGGTCCCTAGCTCTCACTTGGCGGCCAAGGTAATCCCAAAGGTGTTCAACTGGTTTCAGATCAGGGTCTGTCATTATTATTCGAATTTTGAATCAGGTTGTGCTTAACTGATGCTCATGTGTACTGTTAGATAACCGAATTATTTGAGAAATACGAATAATATTAATGTGGTGCATGTGATAAGACAGTATTGGATATAAGAAAGTCCCTTTGATTTTATATAATTGAAATGCCAGTTCCTAAAGAAATAATTTCATCAAATCATCGTCTATATGAAATCAAATATAATACTAGTCCTGATGAACACCATCAAGGTCTTTGGTCACAATTAATTTGTGTTTTTTGTGACTTCCTCTTCTTGCCCTGAGCCCAGACAGTACATTTCCATGCTCTGTCCTGCAAATGCTGCTAGATCAGCAAGATAAATTATTACCACATGTTTCTATGTCTTACAGCTGCACATCTTACAGCTGTATCAAACATGACCATCAGTCTCCTTACAGCTGTTTCAAGGTCATTCAAACATTCAAACATGACCATCACTCACCTTACAGCTCCATGAGTGAGTGAGTGAGTATGGTTTTACGCCGCTTTTAGCAATATTCCACCAATATCATGGCAGGGGACACCAGAAATGGACTTCACACATTGTACCCATGTCGGGAATCGAACCCAGGTCTCCGGTGTGACGAGCGAACGCTTTAACCACTAGGCTACCCGACTGCCCCTAGAGCTCCATGAAAGTCAGTCAAACATTGCCTCCTCAAACTCCTTACAGCAGTATCAAGGTCAGTTTGTCTTGTTTCATTTGATAATTTGTTTGTTGTTTAATGCCGCACTCAGCAATATTCCAGCTATATGACAGCAATCTGTAAATAACCAAATCTGGACCTGCCAATCCAGTGATGGACATCATGAGCATAGATTGGGATTGGGATTGGGATAGGATGACATGTATCAGTCAAGTCAAAGAACCTGACCACACGATCCTGTTAGTCGTCTCTTATGACAAGCATGGGTTGCTGAAGAATTTCTCTAACCCGGAACACTGGTATATCAAGGTCAGTCAAACATGACCAATCACTCTCCTTACAGCCATGTCAAGGTCAGTCAAACATGACCCATCACTCTCCTTACAGCCATGTCAAGGTCAGACAAACATGACCCATGACTCTCCTAACAGCCGTGTCAAGGTCAGTCAAACATGACCCATCACTCTCCTTACAGCCGTGTCAAGGTCAGTCAAACATGACCCATCACTCTCCTAACAGCCGTGTCAAGGTCAGTCAAACATGACCCATCACTCTCCTAACAGCCGTGTCAAGGTCAGTCAAACATGACCCATCACTCTCCTAATAGCGGTGTCAAGGTCAGTGACACAAAACACCTTCACCATGTGTCGCTCTCGCTGTCTGCTTGGGATTCTCCCTGAAATGTCAAAAACACAAATCTGTTCACACTAAAGATAAACATGGAGTTTTAGCATGCCCCAATATTGCACAACTTATTGCCTCAGAAGTTAGAACAAAGTGTTTTTCATATATTCTCAGCACAAATATACAATTTTGATTACTGGCATTGTTTTGCAATTGTTTTGGTTCATGAAAGAACAAATAGTTTTCATGGACATTGAAAAACATTGCTAAAGTACTGTTGGAAATGCTAGAAAACTGCTTTTCTGGCTTCATGTAATAAATACGAGTCATAGGTCTATAAAAAGAGCATATATCAAAATAATGCGATTTGACCTAATCTAGCCTGTCCTAACTGACATTGTGATTACCCTAAAAATGTACTTTTACAGGTAAAATGATGATAAACTTAGAAAATATTCGTGTGTTGTCATGCATGTATGAAATGGCCTATAACCTGAGGTAATTACCTAACACCTGTCCCGAGGTGATGACCTCACACCGTCCCGTGCATTCTCCCAGGTGCAAATGTCACCGAGTTGGGGGTGGTCTAAAAATATTGCTGTTATTGTACTAAATTGACATGTGTTGATGGGGTAGCAATTTAGGATATGTACTGCATTATATTTGCTTGGAAACATGGACTAGTTAAGAGCTATGGAACGGGATGAGTCTTGGAAGGTTGCGGTTTTGGAATCCAGAAGTATTTGTTGTTCTACAGATGGTTTCTTGAGGTGACATTTATCTCCGCTGATGACGTATATGAATCTGTACTTTTGAATGATGTGTTATGTCTTACTACGAACCCGTTACACTTAGCCTAGATGGGCACAACAGGGTTGAGCTCACAATGTCTGACTGGCGTAAGTAAGACAACGTAACCGTGTTGTGCCGCCAGCATATGTCACATGCGTATATTTCTATAGTCCGTTTCAGACTGTCATCATTGGACTAAGAATAAATGTGAACTTCGTGTTTTCGTTTGAATTTGTCTCCTGTAAACTTGTCGATAGGACAGCTTGTGACTGAAATACTTCAAACCACAGGTAGGGCGATCGGTAGTTACTCGATATTTCAATAACAACAGTCTGTGAAAAATCATATCCTTTTTTCACTGGCAAAAAGCAGTTTTCTCACATTTCTGACAGTACTTTACAGTATATCTGCAGTATTGAGTCATACTATATCATGTATTCCAGGGTTCAGATAGAATTTCCTTGTCAGAATATGGCCGATGTGACGATATATATTTTAACTCACTCACTCAGTTTTAATTCTGTATTGATTTTAAAAGGTAACATTTATTAAGACTTTGCAACAACCTGACATAACTACTTGGTGTACCAGTACCTTACCAACCTACAAACATAACACTGTCATAACAAGCCTTAATTAACCCAACTCATGCCAGTTAAACACAAATTGGTTGGGCTCAAGTATCTTGAGTGAGTGAGTATGGTTTTATGCCGCTTTTAGCAATATTCCAGCAATATCACTGCAGGGGACACCAGAAATGGGCTTCACACATTGTACCCATGTCGGGAATCGAACTCGGGAATCGAACCCGGGTCTTCGGCGTGACGAGCGAACGCTTTAACCACTAGGCTATCCGACCGCCCCTTAAGTAGCTTGATGTAATGTGACATGAGAGCTGGGCAATTGTTTACTGCTCTACAGTCCGTTTGCTCAAATATTGTACCGTTGAAATGCAAAATAGATATAAATCTAAAAGCAACAATACAATTTAAATGGCATGAGAGTTATTGATTTGTCCATACCCTCTTGTCACTATAATTTCAGATATTGTCATGAAGTAGAGAAAAAGTTGTTTAACAAACTTTCATATAATTGTATGTGTTTTAATGCCAGTGTGACCCTTACAGTGCAGATGGCTAAAAGGTAATTTGATCAGCCAATCAGGGATCATGTCTTAAAATGTGATCAAAATCAGAACTAGGAAATAAATACATTGCCATCAGGCGGACTAGTGATACTTACGATGTCAACATTTTTTCAAAGGTAGTTACAATTGTTTTATCAAGATTACCTAAGGATCTTCTAAACTGTAAAGTTGTCCGTGGACAACTGAAGCTGATATTTTGTGTTTGTCCTACTGACATAAGAGGTCAGGCAGGCATTGATTTACCACATCCCTGGAAGGGGAGGTATTACAGTGGGGTAAAAGATCTGACTTCAATGACATTGTAGTGGTACAACTCACCTGGGTTGACGACTCAGCGAGGTTCTGGTAGCAGCCCCGCTTGTGCCTGATAAGGTCGCCCCACAGGAGGGGCTGCTTACACTTGAGACAGAAGCCTTCGATTGGGATTATTTGACCTGGGTCGTACAGGAAGCGTTGAGCCAAACACAGGATGTGAGCCTCCATCTGACATTGGGGATGGTAGCAGGCTACAGTCGTGTCATCAGGCTACAAACATGTGCAAAATATGAGTCGGATTAAAATCATTCATCATTACTTGTTGGGGAATCTACCTGTATGATTGGCCAATGTTGCATATATATAGTGAGCTTGTGAGTGTGTGTTTTTCACGTGTGTGTTTATACCATTACCTTTGGTCTTTTGGTGTACAAGACCTTTCAGATTGTAAAATACTGTTCATGTTGGTAGGTGTCGCTCATATCTGGTCCCAAGAGTGAGTGAGTGAGAGAGTTTAGACCTTGGTTTATCGCTGCTTTGAAAAGTATTTCAGTAATATCACTGTGTGTCAGCTTGATGTTGGAGGAAAGGCTGTGGTGGTGCATGTTTTGGACATATACCAATTTGGCAACATTTATGAACATGGGTTGGGTGCGGACAAGCCTTGAAACATGATCGGGGCAAAAAGAAGGGACATAACTCTGCACAACAAAATGCGGAACATTAGACGACTGGGCCCTCAGTTTCCCTGTACATATCACAAGGAAGGACTGCAGGAGGTACAGTAACTCAATTTTAGTTTGTAATAATCGTAGTTCATTATAAGCATATATACAGGATATATACAGCAAATGCCAGGGACAAAAAACAGAACTTTCTATCCATCAGTTCGTAATAAACGTGTTCGTTATAAAAGTAGTTTACTGTATCTAGTTAGTAGTTCTTTTTATAGTGCCAACTGAGGTACCATGCCTCAGTTTAACATTATTATCCTTCCCAGGCATAGTGTAATGACTCAAGCCGACCAGTCCTTGTTTTTTTACATAACGCTGTGTGGGTAACAAAAAGTGCCATCATTTAACATCTTTTGGTATGAGGCAGCCTAGCGATTGATCCACAGACTATCCACTCTCTGGGCAGATGCTCCATCCACTAGACCACAGAGGCCATCTCTGTTAAAGCAGGCCATCAAAGCAAGCCACTGGGTTTAGTGATTTTACTGCCTATTCCCACAATTTGTAAGAAAAAGAGATAATAGTGTATTTTACTCAGGCAAAAGCAAGTGTGATCATGCTCTTTATCCTCAAATTGTGTTTTTAGTCAAGTCAATACTCTGTTATTTGCAGACTGAAATTGTTCTGGTTAATTATCAGATTGAAAACGGACCAACCCCTACAACATCAGCAACATCAGCAACATCCCAGCAATATCATGGTGGCCTGTACATAGTCGGGACCAGACAATCCAGTGTTTGTTTGTGTATGTTTGTTTGTTGTTTGGTGAACTCAACAATATTCCAGCTATATGACGTGGTCTGTAAATAATCCAGTGTGGACAAGACAATCCAGTGATTGACATCATGAGCATCAATCCACGCAATTGGGATCGATGACATGCATCAACCAAGAAAGCAACCCTGACCATCCGATACCGTTAGTCGCCTCGTACGACAAGCATAGTCGCCTTTTACGGCAAGCATAGGTTGCTGAAGACCTGTTCTAACCCACATCTTCACAGTCAACAATCCAGTGGTCGATATTGTGAGCAACATGACACCATCGGAGTAAGTGGATATACAATCAACCAAGCCACTGAGCCTTTATTTCTGCGCCGTTAAAATATTGCGAATACCATACCAAAGACAATACTGCGACGAGATATTTTTGGGAGTTGCCGTGTTGAGAAGTTGAGAAGTGACAATGTGGATTTGAAGATCAGTGTCATGAAACCGATTCACGCAAGATGGCTTGTTTCCTGTGTGGACAACAATTGCAAAGGACACTGACGCAATCAAGCGAGGTTGGAAGAAGGCAGGATTACTGTGAGGTAACAGTGACACTAATTGGTCTGTTTACACTGTTATTTGTGATGTATTGTGTGACCATTCTGCATTCATTTGTGTTTTTAACTTATTGAGTAACTTATGGTTCTGGTTGATGATTTCAACATTTGATGATGTGTTGCAATGAATAAAGTATGTATGTATTATTTATACTTATTTTTGCGTTTTTAATTTGTGCGATAAACCCCCTTTGCAAAACTCGCAATAATAAAACGGTTGCAAAATATTCCCTGTTTACAGTATATTCCCCTGATAATCTCACCTTCAATCTCTTGTAGCACACGGGGCAGACCCTGTGCCTCACATTTAGACTTGTGATCTCGCTCTGGTTACATGTGTCCTCCGTGCTCTCCTTTGGAGTCTTCCCCTTGCCTGCCTTCCTGACCTTCTTGCTCCTCACGGGGCCGTACACGATGGGCATGTGTGAGGGGGGTGCACTCGCTGGGGAGAAGTCAAGACAGTAGTCTTGCTTCAACCAGCGGATCGTGAGTGGGAGACGATTCCATGGACCTGTTCGGAGCATTTGGGAAACAATTCGGAATCGGAATTGATGTGCTGTTTCTTTGCGTGTCTTCTTTGGTAGATGGCGGAGGCGTCTGGATTTGTCTGGGTGCTGCCAGGCCCACTCAAACTGAAATGAAAACGTGTTGTTTTGACATGAACAGTCAAACCGCTGGTTGAACACTGAGCAATGTTGTCAGGATCAATTTTGAAGCCCAAGAAGCTTCTGTAAGTTGTTTTTACAGGCACAAACAGTGAGTGCTGGGGACAGAAGTGTCTGAAATACATTTCTCTCCCATCAAGCCAGACTGTGTGGTGACTCATAAATGGAACTATCCTGTATTGAAAGTTGCAGACCAGCATTAGTAAACACATGCTAGAGTAGACATTCTTTTTCTCAGATTTACTTTATTCTGTGCCTTTATTATTCCAGCAATATTCCAGCCATATGACTGTGGTCTGTAAATAATCGAGTCTGGACCAGAAAATCTAGTGATTGATATCATGAGCATCGACCTACACAACTGGGATACGATGACATGCTTCAACCATGTCAGTCAGCCTGACCACCCGATCCCGTTAGTCGCCTCTTATGACAAGCTGGGGTTGCTGAAGAGCTCTTCTAACCCGGATCTTCACGGGGTCATAATCACAAAGGTAGCTCTTGCTCTAAGGTAAGTGAGTCACATATCAATGTCTCGTTCAAACTTGTCAGCGCGGTTATGAAATTTTCAACCAGACAGTCAGGCAGGTAGGAATACATTTGACATATCCCCATAAACGTTACCAGGCACAGGATAGCCTGCAGCTATGTGGACACTGGAGGAAACACAGAGACATGCACCCTACCCGTAATGCTGAGATATCATTGGGGAAGCCATGGATTATCAGGATCATCTCCCTGAAAAGAAACATAAATCGTTCAAACCTCATTTAAAAAAGTGAAGAATTAAATGTTTTTGGTAGTCATTGCAATCCCTGCAATTTGATTGGCCGAACGGGTCCTTTTCTTCTGCTTTCATTTCGCAGCGATGAATTAAGGCACTGCCCCCAAGATAGACTACTTTCATCACAAAGGAATGTCACGGAATCCCAAGGCAAGGCCATCACTGTTTCAAGTATGCTTGAACTTTTAGCTTTGTTTTGGTATCAAACATGCTGTCACAAGCTGTTAAATAAGCTAAGAGCAACTTGTGAAATAAAGAGTGTATCAGTGTTTTTTATATATATTGTCTGGTTAACACTTTCCTCCTGAAACGAAACAAAACATAATCCAGGGTTGTCTAAGCAGCCATGACGCACCCTGCGACAAACGCATGTACATGCCAAATGATGACAGTGTCCTGTCAATGCGCTTCATCAACACCTTGATCATCTCCCTGAGGCAAGGGAGTTAACTGACTGTAAAAATCCAGTTTCCACCCTTGCCGAACTCAGCTGGAATATCTAGACTCGATCGTAGTACTACCAGTGACCATTATGAGATAAGTCCCTTCTATGTCCCTCCTACTGACTAATCAGATTCCATCTCTTATATCACTTACATTTGCTTCAAACAAAATGGCGGTGCCCAGTCAGGACGATCTGATCGATAAACAAGATCTATTTTGTTACAAAACGGGTGTTACTACAAAAAGTGCATCAAATCACATGAGCACCTTGATTAAAAACATGAACAAATTTGGAAAATATCTGTTGACACCGAGTTGGCAATACACATGCTTCGAAAATCCTGAAATCGACTGAAATCTGCACGGCATTTTACAAACCAGATGTCAACTTTGTTATGCGATTTTAATTGGACTATGCATAAACCTGTTAACTCAATAATTCCAGCAGCCTATTTCAGCAAGGGTGACTTTTAGAGATTAACTCCCTTGCCTCAGGCAGATGCACCTTGATAAAAGTGACCAAAATTGTTTTTTTTCATTGCCAAAAAGATGCATTTCGTCCCGTTGTTTGCTTCTGGCCTACTACTTCAAAACTATGTTGGGTAAAGACTCATTCCCCCAACACCCCGCACCCATAAAAATAAAAAGAATTTTTGTTTTAAATAAATAAAAAAATAAATTATTAGTATAGGCTATCCTTGTTTGGTATCTAGCCACTTTACATCTGTTAAAGAGAACAAACTTTCTCACTGCTGGAAGTGAAAGCGAATAATATTTACTGTTTGAATAGAAACCGTCTATCATTGTACACTGGCATTCACTGAGAACGGTGTGTCCACTAGATCAAGGGAGGTAACTCTTACAGCTTCCACACCAATCTGGTTGACAAACTAGGATAAGCAGGGTACTATAACAGAACTGCCCTGGTAGTGATCACATGTTCCTGGGTGCTGAATAATAAAATATCATGTCTATTGTCAAACCTCTCTTCTCATTATTTTAATGCCTAGTTTGAATTTAAACAATCAATCATGATCTCCGAGATAAATTGAAGCGAATAAATGTAAATATTACCGGTATTATTACAAAATTTCAAACAATAGCTAAACTATCAGTTACAATTCACAAAATATTGAAAAAGAGCACATAACAAGATATACCAACAAAACATATTGTGGGTATAGAGTACTTTGATTACAATTTTTAAAAAAGCGACAAAACACTTTACATTTTCATAAGAAATCTCTGCGAAACATGCTAAAAGCAGAGTCAACAGCAAGCCAGATTATACCTATTTTTGTTGGATATTGAAAATTAGTTGTTTCACACTTTATTATCTAAACGACAGTAACAAAGTACAAAAACTTACATTAACTCAGTGATAATACTTTTTTGTCAAAAACAACACCACCCTACACATAAATACAATTGGCTATTTTTCAAGTTATCCGACCTGTTATCTGTGATGCCTTTTCTAACAACCTTGTATTTTGTTCCATAAGCTGTCTATATTTTTCTGATATGAATAAATAATAAATCTTTGTCCACAATATTTGCAACACACTAAAAATATGTACAGATAAATTAATATTTTAATACAATATTGTTTTGTTCACTGAGAGCTATGAATTTATAAAACGAAGTGTGAACTGTATTCATCTGCCAAGAAATGTTCCAATTTTCCAATTCTGTGTATTCATTCATGTTTACATAAATAAACAACCTACCTTGCCAAGATGTCAATTTCTATACTCATTAGGGCTGTTACAATTCACTCGCGTATTCGGTGAATCGAACCATGACCATTCATGAATTGAAATTGTTATTCATGGCCTATAGAATCGAATATTTATGAATATGCAATCATATGTATTTACATACCCTGTACCTAAAAATATCCATAAGAACATATTACAGACATAGATTTCTTTCAATGACAACACTCTTATAATATTTAATTTGACAGTATTGTGGTCACAGGTCATTATCTCAGTTGAGCCGATACTAGTACCTGGATAAGTGCAGTATATAGATGTAAAATATATTAATAATTAACAAACCATGTCAAATAGTTTATGTTGTTATTGTTTCACTGAATATAATTAATAATACATAAACTGCTGACTTCTTATTGTATTTGTGAATTAACATTCATATTCGTTACCCTAGATTCGTGATATGAATCGTATTCGCCTCACAGTGTATTCGTTACAGCCCTAATACTCGTCATTCAATTCAGCGATCGCTAGGGGACAGACAGCATATGACTGCCGCACAGTTAAACACAGATCAATGTGGGTCATTGTAAAATGTTTATTCTTTACATATTCAAACATCTTTAAGCAAATATACCCCACAGGGGTTCCCCAGATAATAAATATCTAGATTGCTAAAAAAAAATGGTTCAGGGAGAATGGCCTAGTTTCCTTTTCAATTTATTGAGTTATGAGCACAGAAGAAAAGATTTTGATTTGATGGAGGTGTCCTCAAATCTTCACACACAGAAGCATTGTATCAGAGAACAGGATCTGATTTTACTGAATCTGCCCATGGGTCCAATCTATTTTAAGAATAATCCTGTTTTAAATGAGACAGTTTGTGCAGTACCGTATTCGACATAATAAGCGCCCAACCTTACCTGCCGATTACCGGTACTTCCTGTTTGGAACAATGGGCATCGATGATAATTTTTTCTCATCTTTAATGTGGAGTTGCGGTATCACAAATACATCGATATGTAAGTTAATTATTTGTAAGAGACATATATATATCTAAATGGGTAAAATACTGATATCGGTCGTTTTCTTCATTTGCCAAACAACAAAATTTACAATCTTTCAATTCTGATTTTTTTCACCAAAATTATGTTCTAATAAGTGCCCCCTATTTGTAATTTTGAGAGTGCCCTGGGCGCTTATTACGTCGAATACAGTATTCACTGCAATAGAGTTCATGTATGTATACAAGACACCTGCATTAGATCAATAAAAAAAACTCAAAGTTGAAAAGGTTACCCAGGTAACTAACATGACTAAGAATAAAATTTACAAACTTTTTCATTTCCGAAATTGTTCAACTCAAAATTAATTGGTTAATGCTGATGCGTTTGGTTTATTTTGGCAAATCTGGCTCATTTGGAGCTCTGAACAGCAAAGCCTTAGTTGACTAGTTCTATTACTTGCAACAACCAAGTCAGCAAGCCATCTGATCTCGTTAGTTGCCTCTAAAGTCCAGGATTTTGTTGGTAAATTCTCAGTTGAAATATTGTCTGGGTGGATTATTTCCTAAAAATGCTTTACCTGAATAGTGTTATTACTGTAATACAAACAAAATAGAGTTCTATTTCAAAACAAACAAAGCCTTTTAGAATTATTAGTTTTACTTTTTCAAAAACAATAAAACAGCTGTGCGTGCGTGAACAATACTCTGAGTAATTACCGAACGTATATCCTTTTTAACTTGCATACCTATATTTAATTACAACTTTATTCACAGAATGAATGCAGGAATCACACACACAAAAACTCTACTGCAGTGAATACAAATTAAAAGACACCTGAAACAGCATTTTAAGCTGAGTTATTTTAAAATACCCAATAGTGAGTGAGTATGTATTTCCAGCAATATCACGGCAGGGGACACCAGAAATGGGCTTCACACATTGTGCCCATGTCGGGAATCGAACCCGGGTTTTCGGCGTGACGAGCGAACCCTCTAACCACTAGGCTACCCGACCACCCCAAAATACCCAATAGACTGCACCACAGGAATAAGAATATACTGACTACAGAAAGAACACTCAAATACTCAATGTTAAATACTCAATGTTAAAAAATATTATCTGGAGACCTATTGCATAATAGTGGTTGCTGGGGACCAATTCTAACCTGGAATTTCCACAGGGTCATAGTTCATTGAGAGTCTAATCCATCAGGAATCAGCAATGAACTTTATCCCCCAACTGACAGATGTCTTGGAGTAAATATATTGTTTGACCAAAGTCCGGCAGGTCAAACTCCAGACTGTAGATCTGTAAGCCAGATTAACATGCGTCTGGTAATGGCCCAGGGGTCTCTCCCAGCAGAGAATAGGCAGGGGGCATTAATTACATGGAACTCACAGCACATATGACTGGAAGTAGATTACCTCTGTCACGTTTACACTCACTGGCTACTTAATGCTACACTGTTACAACCAGCCAAACATTGATGATTGAGGTGTTATTCAACAGCTTTTAGGGCAATAACTATCAAAAGGTACCCTGGATATTTAGTGTTCACGAAGGTACTCGGGCTTAAAACAGCATGGCTTATGACATATCCTCATTACGTTTTAATCCTTAATCTTTGATCCCATCCAGGGACTTCTCCAGTCTTTTAAACTTAGGGCCCCTGGAAGGCAAATTGAAGGGAAAACATTATTTTGTTCAAAATTGGGAAGTTTTTTTTATAGTTTTTCTTTTCCTAACTTCGGGTGTATTGTATTTTGATATGGCATTCAATATAATGACATGAAACGAAGTACCATATTCCACGTAATAAGCGCCCCGCTCTAATAAGCGCCCATGGCGACATTTGCTAAGATATTGGCTATTGAACAATCCCAATCAACACCCCTTCCGAGTGATCAATGTACAGAAGACTTATTTATTCGCGTATAATATGCACTCGTGTGTTTTACGCACCCTTAATTATGGGCATTTAATTCTGGAAAAATATATCTGTCGTACATAAACATTTCAGGCTGTCAGCATAAACCACGAAATTTATCTTTCAACTCTGTTTTTTCCACCAAAATAACATTCTAATAAGAGCCCCCTATTTCTAATTTTGAGAGCACCCTGGGCGCTTATTACGTCGAATACGGTATTTGAAACATCTTCCTTTTTATTGCTCCTGTACAGGTTATCTCTACAAAGCCATAAAATTTGTTATTAAGTTTATACATAAAATTTGTTATTAAGTTTATACATAAAATTTGAATTGAGAAATGTTTAATTCCAATTTGGGAATTTATAATACATTTGCTCCAGATTTGAGGCTGAATATCACACTCCGACCAGGTCTAGATAACTCCATGTACATCAGTAATGCAGGGATATTTGCCAGGATTCCAACTACCATATTCGCCATAATAACCGCCCTGCTCCCCAAAAAACCCTGACAAACTTCTAGACAAATCTTTTTAAGGACCCACAACTAAGACTGAAAATAAACATGGCATTTTCTTGTGTATATTACAGATCTGTTAAAAACAACAGCAGAATACTACCAGTGTAGAATACATACCAGTTTATAATTACCAAGTAACTATTATGGAAATAAGGTTAATTTCATCGATGTTTGAAGTAATTGCTCACAACCGCCAGATCACTGACAACAAATTTAACTCACTGTATGGGGTTTAATAAGCGTCCCCATTTGTCAATTTTCTATTAACCCAGGCGCTTATTACAGGGAATACAGTATTGGCACATAATGCATTATTTGTCCAAAATTAGACTTTTTAACATTTTCATAATGCCTTTTTGAAGGCATTTTATCAAATGTTAAGACTTTTACAAGGCAGGTTCTAAATTGTTACCTGATAAGTTAAAGGCCTGTTCAACCCTGAGCGAAACTTGTCCTATCGAAGAAAAGAACTTTTAGGTCCACTGGCAACCCAGAGAAGTCTACAACTGATTTGATTTTAATTACCAGTCTCCAAGAACCTTCTTTCTCTAAATTGCAGCTCTCATTTTCTATGTATTAATATTTTAATATTTCATCAATGTTTTTACTGTATCTTATTTCACCTTACATAATTTTTGTACTTTTTTAAAGTTTCATATTATCTGATTCTATTGCTGTGTGTCATCTTACCTCATTGTCATTGTTAATATCATCTTATTTTCCATATTAAATGTTACTGCTTCCAATACTATCTAATCCCTTGTACAATACTTCACTGCATGAAATCCGAACACAAATTATCTCCCTTCCTCTTCCTCTTCCTCTCCCTCCTCTTGACAGTGATTGGCTGATCAGAAAGATCACCTGTCGCATCCTCCTTTTGAGGTGTCCGGAGATCTTCATGTACGGAGATATTGTCTTCACACATCCTGAATCTGTATTGCACCACATGATACAGTGCCTGCTGTAGTCCGATGGAACAAAAATATCTAAATTCTGTGGTTATTTTTTTAAAATTCTGAGACCAATCATTTTATTTTTTTTGGATTCAGCCAGGACTGCTTGTTGTGGCATTACTTTCATTTTTATTTTAATTTTTGATCTGCCATCCTGAAAATGGGATTATGGAAACAAATAATATTTCCAGTTTAAAGTGTTTCATATGATCATATCTTTTATAATCACACTTTCCGAGAACAGTTATACATGCTGGGATGTCGCCACACCAAATACCCCAAGCAAGCTGTGTGTGACATAGTTCCCATGAAAACGAAGCGATTTATCTAGGATTCCAAACTAAGTGCCCTTAGCAAGCAATCTGGGTAAAAATCATTGGGATTTTTGTTAAGGTTCTTGTTTTCTAAAATCAGAAGGTATTTTAAATTGTATTCATTGCAATAGTGTAAAACTGGGCGCTTAAGCCTTTCGGCCCTTATTATTGGTCCTGTTGTCAGTGAAATGCCAGACACCTCTACAAAGCCATAACATTGACTATAACCACATTGGTACATTTGTAATTCCAATTTGGGAATTTGTACAGACATTTACTGCAGACTTTGAGCTGTCGGCCACTGAGCAGGTGGCCACACGTTTCGTTTTTAATTTCCATTTAAAAAAAATAAATTAAAAATCCTTAAATATTCCAAGTCCAACAAGAGTCAAATACTGTATTCCAGTATTTTACTCATCAAGGAATACATTTATGTAGGGAGGCCCTTTCCCAGGTTGATTGTACACAACTGTTTATTATTTACACAACTGTTAATTGGTAACATACTAGTTTGAACAACAACAACAACAACAAAAAGACACCACTATGTTTTCAAAAAACATTGCCTGAGAACCAATTCTTTTAAGATTTTAATGCACTCCTTCCTCTCTCCCCACAACCCCACAAGAAGAGTGAATAGAAAAGGGTATATGACACCACAGACCGGAAAGATATCTACGTCAATGCTGTTTCAGATAACTTCTAATCAGCATGTCTGTCTGCTGCCCTAAGTACCCCAAGTCACATGACCTCACAGCAGTGATATATGTCTAAGTTACAATAAGTTATGAATGCTTGCTGTGGAGTGATGGTATGTAACTATAAGAGTAAACTATGTTCACTGTTATGTAGTTTAATTAATGTCGTATTCTAATATATACTGTAATGTAACTTATTGTATGTTATTGTGTTTTATAGGCCATTTAGTACAATTGTACCTTATCAAGACTTGAACTCTGCATGTATTAAATGTGTGACACATAAATAATATAGTTCTCTCTCTTTTGTCTCTGAGGCAGTTCTTATACCCCGTTAAATAAACAACAAGTCAAAAAGATCATGTCGGACATTAAATGAGACAAAAGACATAAACAAAAACCTTCTTGCAAAACTGAATAAGTCCCCTAAAAATGACACTTTTTCTGTATATTCAACGGAAGTGTGAAAACTTGATCACTTTCTGTTACAAAGTGGTTTAACTTCCCGATAGTGGAAGTTCATTCAAAAGCAATCTCCTGAGTCTTCGTCCCACAACCAATAAATGTCAACTAAAAATCTTACGCTGTTCAACGTAGTGGTCTGTCACATACAGAGCATGAAAAGCACGAGATTTACAAAAAAGAACATATGCCAGTGGTACAGCAACGGGCGTGTTTGGGCGAGCACTTCCAAGTTAATCGATGAGTATCTGGACGAGCTATACCAAAACAAACCGAGAACAACTGTTCCCTTCTGTTCACGAGATGTTGCACAAATGTGCATTATTCACAGTAGAGTTCTTGTATATGTTATACCAGCATTCAGTGAGTAAGAAAAGGTCTGTAAAGATATACGTGTACGCCGATGAAAAAGCTACATTGGGTTACTATGCAGTGAAATACTGTTGGGTTATCAAATATCTTCATGCGTATTTTATGCAAGCAGCTCAAAATTCATCGGGATATGATGATTTAGTTTGCTGTATTTTACATAAATATGCAGCTCATCTGGAGATCTAAAACAACCTGGGGGGTCGGGTAGCCTAGATGTTAGGGCGTTCGCTTGTCACGCCGAAGACCCGGGTTTGATTCCCGACATGGGTACAATGTGTGAAGCCCATTTCTGGTGTCCCCCGCCCTGATATTGCTGTAATATTGCTAAAAGCAGTGTAAAACCATACTCACTCACTATAGGGTGATGACATGGCTGGAATATTGCTAAAAGCGGTGTAAAACCATACATACTCACTCACTCACACACTCTGATACAACTTGGATTTGCTGATCTCTACTCACCAAGGTCCTTTCCCGTCTGTGCGCCACGCCCCTCCTGCCTGTGCCCCTGTGTTGTGCTGTTTGATCCTCCTGTTGGGGTCCACGGTGTACCCAATATAGGTCCTTCCCTTGTACCGGGGGTTCAGATTGTACAGGAGGTAAACGCCATAGAAGTCCTCGATCTCATGCACCATGGTGGCGATGGTGGCGATGGCAGCCCTTGTGTCTGAGCTGGTTCACCTGTTCCTCTGATGGACTGGTGGCCTTCCTGCATGTGCTTCTCAATCACTCATTACTGGGATTTATCTATGATTCCGAACTAAGAGCCCTTGAAACACAAATTGGGAAAATAATATAATTAAGTTCAAATTTGGGATTTGGTCCTTAATTTCTTAAATTCATATGTATGTTAATATGTTATGTATTCCATGCAAAAATGTAAAATTAAACATTAAAGCCCCTTCTTGTTTATTCGTCCTGTTATCAGTGAAATGCAAGTCACCTCTGGAGTGAGTGAGTGATGAGTGAGTGAGTGAGTGAGTGAGTGAGTGAGTGAGTGAGTGAGTGAGTGAGTGAGTGAGTGAGTGAGTGAGTGAGTGAGTGAGTGAGCGAGCGAGCTGGGTTTAATGCTGCTTTTAACAATATTCCAAGGCATGCCAGTTTTATATGGGAGGAAAGACTTGGCATATTGTTAATACAAATACACAGGTGATCTGGAGCTCTGTATAGCAACAGGACCATATGTACATGATGTAAGTGATATATCTATGTTTAATCATGTTAATAGCATTGTTCATGTTTGATTTACGACTGATTTTCTTCTTTAAGCGACATAATAATTTTTATCATACTTCATAGACTCCTGTGAGTTACTATTGCTTCGTTCCTGTGCAGCACTGAAGCACATACAGGTGAGTGACATTGTTTGAAATACCGTATTCGACGTAATAAGCGCCCCACTCTAATAAGCGCCTGAGGCGATATTTGCTAATATATTGGCTAGTGAACAATCCCAATTAGCACCCCTTCCGTTTGATCAATGTCAGAAGACTTATTTATTCGTGTATAATACTCACTCGTGTGTTATATGTACCCTTATTTATGGGCAATTAAATTCTGGAAAAAATATATTTGTCGTACATAAACATTTCGGGCTGTCAGCATAAACCACGAAATTTATCTTTCAACTCTTTCCACTTTTTTCACCAAAATGATATTCTAATAAGAGCCCTCTATTTCTAATTGTGAGAGTGCCCTGGACGCTTATTACGTCGAATACGGTATTCCTCTGTCCACCAAGCAGTGAATTGGCAATGTGACTGTTAACTTCCTGGCGCATCACGGGCAGCTTGGAGATGAAAATGAAATCGAGTGCACACTGATCCACACACCAGGGTAATAAAAGTGCAACACTTTGAGCATGCCCCAGATTGTCGTGGAAATATAGCGCAATATTATTATTATTAATATCATTAAGCATAGAGGGTTATATATATGTACATTCATGATTTTGATCACAAACATTTCAAAGCACATATTCATTGCACCCTCTAGCTCCAATAGGCTAATGCGTTTTAATATTTAAAGGGTTAGTGATATATCTAAATGGTAAATATTGTAAATCACTGGCCCTTACGTCAGTTAATAGAAGTAGCTTAGGCTTGTAAGTGTCGACAAAATGGATCGGGTGATCTTGCTCGGTGACAAGGTTAATGATTGCATGTCATCGTATTCCAGTTTCCATTGCGTGGATCAATGAATATCAATCAAGAATTGTCTTGTCCAAACTCGATTAAGTACAGACCGTCGTCATATAGCTGGAATATTACTGAGTGCAACGTAAACAACAAACAAAGCTTATGCAATTGTTGAGTGTCTGACGCGAACATTGTCTTAGCATTTTCCCACACAATAACACTGGATGAAACGCACTAACCGGGTCTATTCTTCGGCTACCATTAATTATCAAGGCTGTCCTGTACACACACTCAGGACAGGATAAACAAACATATCACAGTCCAACATACGCGTACAATCACTTTCTTCCAATCAATCAAACCTGCCGCCATTTTGTACAATCACGTGATGGCGTACTACAAAGGTCGAAGTTCAGAGTTCACACCACGCCACATGTCCCTTATCATTCTGTCTTCAGAGGTTTCATTCATTCAACCACTGTAAGCCAGTCAACGCGGACAGACAAACGATCGTTCTGTTTCCATTCCCGAGAAGAATTTTCAAAAATGGCTTTTGCTGAGGGTAAATGGCACCTTGTCGACAGCGATAATTTTGACGCCTACATGCAAGCAGTGGGTAGGTACCATTCCTGGCAATGTCCATACTTGTCTCATTTATTATTCTGCAGATGCAAAGCGATCTGAGTTCTTCGGATCACGCGATGCCTGTTGTTTGTTAACGGTGTTGGCTGTTAATGCTCTCAGTCTCACATCAGACCTCGACATTATATTTTAGAAGTGTGTTCTTGGGGATACAGCTTTGAATGAAACATCGCAGCGCTATAAATGTCATATCGTACGATCGCGGCTGTAAATCGATTTCTTAAGTTACAATAATGGTACATTGTGTTAACTGATGTGGCGTTCGTTTTGATGTCTTAGTAACCATGCAATTGATTTTATGGAAGCTTTTTTCATAGTACGAATGTTTTAACTGGTTAGCCGTTTTACATGGTTAGTATTACTTGTAATACACTAGTGATAATTTATATAGAAAACATAAGATAATGCGTTTATATCAGCATACATGTGATAAGCATATTTTCTGTATGACTGATCAAGATGCAAATGCATTTTATATAAATAGGTAGGTTTGGATGTTAAACATTTTAATTGAAAAAGGAATATATTCATCCTTTGGAAGTGTTTGGAAGGGAATTTAAATGATTATAAAAATTGATTGTTTTAGCTAGATTGCAAGGCTCCATAGAAGGGCTTATTACGGAAGCTTTTTAGAGCCATTTGTTTTTTTGTTTTTTTTTGATACTATCTTGAAATTTCAAGATACTAAGTTGAAATTTCAAGATACTATCTTGAAATTTCAATTTAGTATCTTAGTATCTTGAAATTTCAAATTATTATCTTGAAATTTCAACTTATTATCTTGAAATTTCAACTTATTATCTTGAAATTTCAACTTAATATCTTGAAATTTCAACTTCTGTATCTTGAAATTTCAAGATAGTATCTTAAATTTTCAACTTAGTATCAACAAATGGCCCTAAAAGGCTTCCGTAGCTTATTAAAGATGTTTAAACATTATTTAACATTTTTTCCCTTTAAAGAAGTTAGCATAATTTAGATTTAAATAACGACGATAAAAGCATGCCCACAAACAATCACATTGATTTTTGCGTCTATATGTAGAATTCATTAATTTTGACCAAAAAAGTATGCTGTTTCAAAACTGCACTTGATGTTTACTTTTTTTGCAAATTCCTGCATGCACACAACACTGCAGCATTTGGTATACAGTGAAACAAGCAGCTATTATATGGGAAGGGTTGTCAGTTTCATTTGAAGTAATTGACTTTCATGCTGCAGCCAGCATTTATCTAATGCATACTGATATGAAGGTGAGACATGATGAATGCTGTCTGATATCAGCCTCATGACTCACTGATGTTGGGGGACTCCCAGATAAAAGAAGAAAGTTGACCTAAAAATAGTTCAGAGTCTACAAAACTTGAGCTTAGTGGGATAGTGTTTGGGCAATATTTTAAAAGAGCTTGAAATACAGAACAGGATTGGAGACCTGACTGCACATCTTTTGGAGTATTTCACAAAGAAAAGTTTTGTGACTGTAGTACTTATAAGGTGGTTGAATGTCTTGTTTATGTACTTGTTTGTTTGTTGTTTAATGCTGCACTGTTTGACAGCGGTCTGTAGATAATTGAGTCTGGACCAGACAATCTAGTGGTTGACATCATGAGCATCGATCCATGCAATAAGGGTACAATGACATGCATCAACCAAGTCAGCGAGCCTCTGACTACTTGATTTTTACAGAAATTGTCTTGTATACTTAGCATGATTACATTTCAGTAGGAACTAGGGCTGGGACGAGTCCAAATTTACTACCCGGGGACCCCCCCCCCCCCCCCTATTACCAAACCCTCCACGGGTACCCACTGTAGGTCTCAGGAGATGTCTCAAAATGTTTCAAAATGTCTCAAACATATTTAGCATAGCCCTGGCAAAACGTATTTAGATATATGTATAAAACAAGCTGGTCATTCATACACTGAAATTAAAATAAGTTAACTTATATAACCATATGAAAAATCAGAAGGAATGGGTGCATAGTCAGAAAGAAATGCGAGCATTAGTGACTTGTAGCGTAACCATAGAGTTCTAAACAATTTTTGTCATTAAACAATATATTACGTGACTAACCACGGGTCCGGGTAGTCCTTAGTGTACTTGGGTCCTACTCATTACACCCCCGACCCTAGAACGAACATTTGTGTTAAATAACTCTTATGTCCTAGTCTAGCGTCATGACTGTGGAATATATATATATATATATATACTTATTTATTTTTTTACTAATAGCCTAGGCAAGTCTCGATGAAACTACACCAAGTTTAGTTTTCTTGATACCAAAGGTTCTTTTGAAAAAACCATTACAATTATTTTAAACAAATGTTTTCTTAGACTAAGTGTTATTCTAATAATGTCCAAACCCCTGTGGTGATTCTGGGTTAGAATTGGTTTATTGAGTGGTCAGACTTGGTGATTGATACAACTGGGTCCTGATGGCTATCCTGAAAACAAGTTTTTTGGTTTTTTTAGGCCACATCTTTTTTGCTTTTTGGATCCACCAACCATATTTGAAAAAGTTGAAATTGGGACAAAAAAAATCAGAATTTGCTTTTTTTTCTTTATTCCCCAGAATAATCTGAAAGCATGTTGCATCCAAAAAATATTTTCTGAACAGGGACCCACTGAAGGTGATATAATAAACATTGGCATCAAAATAAATGTGTTGTTGTTCCTGAAATTGATAGGATGCAGAGACCCACAACAGTATAGGCAGGTTTGCATGGCTCAGGGCATCGGCTCAGTTGCAGTGTTGCACGCTCTCCTCCCACATTAAACCATTTTAAAAACAAAAACAATTCCCACCTAGCAATAGTTATTTCCCTGTTAAAAATCTGTAAAGCAAGTGAAAAAAGGTGTGATCTTAATGAAAAAATAATTGTGTTTGTGGAAATGCTGAGAAGTATGTAAGTTCAGTAATCGATGACTGATAACAGTCAAGGGTTACAGCAGATGGTATTAGTTGTGCATTCCTGTCACTTGAAACATTGACCCAGATATCTGACCTAATATCTTTGTAATTAAAGGTTGATAGATTAATGTTATCTCTCACCTGATTCTACAGGCCCAGACAGGACGTGTCGCCTGACATCATGGCGACACCCATCTTCTGAATTACTGACTGTGTACTCCTATCGGGGCTGAAGCTTAAATGATACTCGCAAGGCTAGATGTCAACTGCTTTTGAGGCCTATATACTCCTATCTGTAGACTGTCTCCAAGACACTTGTGAATAAATAAAAATATGAATCCAACTCAAGTTTAGACTGATTTGGAAAGTCTAGATTGCCTCAGCTGTAAGCATTGTTCCATTTGGATGTTTGTTTTGTAGATATATATTGTGAAATAAGATATCTGTATTTGAGGGGTGAATGTATTGCATAACAAATTTTCTGAACTCAAAATGCTTAAAAAAATGCTTACCGTATTCGACGTAATAAGCGCCCCGCTCTAATAAGCGCCCACGGCGATATTTGCGAATATATTGGCTAGTGAACCATCCCAATTAGCACCCCTTCCGGATTATCAATGCTCACAAGACTTATTTGTTCGCGTATGATACGCACTCGTGTGTTATATGCAACCTTAATTATGGGCAATTAAATTCTGGAAAAATATATCTGTCGCACATGACAAGAAATTTATCTTTCAACTCTTTTTTTTTTCACCAAAATAATATTTTAATAAGAGCCCCCTATTTCTAATTTTGAGAGGGCCCTGGGCGCTTATTACGTCGAATACGGTATTTCTAAATTATGAAATACTTTTGTTGTTATTTCTTTAATGGCATCAAATCATCAAAATATTAGACACTTTTTTGTTGACAAGTTGTTTATTTACATTGTTAAACTGTACCACTCGACTGACATTTTCACCAGTGGCATGATAAACAAGACTGAACTCTGCAGTCAATGCTGTTTGTCACGGTTTGTACCATTACGTGAGGAGTTCTTTAACCAATACATGCACAGGCTGAGCCTCTGATGTGTGGGATGATAGAATCAAGATTAGACTGTGCATATCCTTTACTGAGAGCTGTCAGGCTCCCAGGTGTAATTACATAATGGCAATAGTCACAGCAGGAGCAACATGTGGTGTTCCTTTCAGCTTGCGGGGTGGGGAATAGGAGGAGGGGGGGGGGGGGGGGGAAGGAGGAGGGGGGTAGCTTACTGTGAGGTGGAGAATAGAAGGGGTAGCGTACTGTGAGGTGGGGGTGAGAAAGAAGGGGGATAGGATGCAGAGGAAGTGGGTAGCTTACTGTGAGGTGGTGGAGTGAGTGAGTTTGGTTTAACGCCGCTTTTAACAGTTATATCGCGGCGTGTCAGCTTAATGTGGGAGGAAAGCCCAAAGTGATGCAGGTCTCAGACGTTTACCACTTCGGTGAAACCCACGAGCATGGGTATGGTGCTGACAAACCTAGAAACATAATTGGGGCGAACCGAGATTCGAACCCACAATCATAGGTTTCTGGCATGCCCAAGGGACGCAACTCTACACTGTGAAATCGCGGTGCCTTTGACGACTGGGCCACCCGTGCCCCTGTGAGGTAGTGGAAGAGGAGGTAGCTTAGAGTGAGAGGGGGTAGGTTACAGTGAGGGTAGTGATGAGGAAGACATCGCCATCTTTATAGAGGATATTCGTCTTGAGTGACTAAAAATCAGTTACAAAATTTTGATTAAAATTTAAAATTGGAGGCAAGGCATCTATACTTTCTTGTTTTAAAGATGTCCGTTCCAGGAATTTTAAATAAAGTTGATGAAATGAAATTAACCTTATATAGCATTAAACATGTTAAACATACACACTCATGCATCAACCAAATAAAAGAACTGTGTAAGGCGCTATAGGGTTACTCTTTGTCCCTGGCACACAGTACAGGGCTGACCACCACAGTAGCTAGCCACTGTCCATGTGGCTTCTGCCATGCAGGGAACAGCTGGTATTGATTGATGAGTAATTAGCATGACCAGGGCT